AGTTTTCTAGACATTCGTTGAGTCAGAAGAAGGTTTAATGGCCTCATAGGAATGAATGAGATAAAAGGTGAGGGGGACCCGGCTTTACATCTGAATCCATTGAATGGGAGAGAAAATAAAAGTTACTCATATTGTGGGGTAGGAGGGTCTGGCTGAAAAACTCCAGAAGTCCTGTATTCCTTCTGTTCACTGTTTTTATATCTTGGTGTTTTTTTGTTGTTGGGTGTTGTGTTGTTTGTTGGTTTTGGTGTTTGTTTTTTTTTTTTTTTTCCGTGGGCTGGTTTTGTGGTTGGGGGGGGTTTTTTTGTGGTTTTTGTTTTTTGTTTTTTTTTTTTTTCCCTCCCCAGCCCTGATAATTTGAACAGGAGATTGGTCCATATCATACTAGCAATGAGTCTTCCAAACTGTTCTGGAAGAGACATCGAAGCGTCATCTATTCTGCAGTGTCATCTACATTCATCAATTGAATTCTCTAATTCAGTTGGCCATACCAAAGACTTATGTTATTACTATTATCGCAACAGCCAACTGTAATTTACTTATGTCGGTGACACAACTGTATCCTCAAGCCTCAGAAGCTGGGAACATCTTTCTCAACGTAACTGCATCTGGGTTGCTTTTCAGTACTTTGGTTCTGGTAAACGCATAACAAAAGGATAGGACTCAAATTTCCCTTACAGAAATGGAATTAAATTGCCTCTGCCTCACAGAAACGATTCTTAATTTAAGTGAAATTGCATATCTTGGTAGTTAAAATAATTCCACTGTAAATGTCTGTATAAGTAATCTGGACCCCGCTTTCAGATGGGTCCAGATTAAAGTTCTTGTATTCTGCAGACATAGGGACATAATTCATCTGGTAAAGTTGTTCTGATTCCAGTTAATTACTCTAATTCTGCTCGAAGGTTGCAATTCAGCATGAAAGGATGGAGGACTATAGTTCAGGTATTTTTTCTGACAAAACCTTGAAGAATGTATCTAGCCAAGCTAGTGTGCTTTATGTAGAAGGTCAGTTTATTTTTCTTATTGTTACTTCTCTGTTGTTCTGAAACGTAATTTTAAACCAGTGTAGCCATTGCAATGAGCATGCCCTTCTCAACAGCACATGTGTCATAGCGGGGATAGTGACTGGTCACATTTCTAGTCTGAGGTTACCACTGAAACTGCAGCAATTGCATGTTATTCTAGTGGCTAGCTGTCAACCGTGGTGCTGTATGCTGACACAAGAGTTCAAGAAGCAGCTCTGTGGCATGACCTGATCCATGATTCGGTGCTGCCAGAAGGGGCAGTGTCCCTTGTCACGGTTTTATGACCTCCCTCGCCCTGGCGTGTGCCTGCTCTTTCTCCCTCACCTCACGTTTATGACTGTTGTCAGACAACTTGACTTGCTAAACTGACAAAAATCAAATCTAGCAAGATGTATACAGGTCTTTTCAGGGGTAGAAAGTTAAACGAGCTTTTTGGCAGGCCCCATGAGTGCTTGAGCAGGGCAGAGGGCAGAACTGTTCTGGGTGAGAAGGAAGGGGAAAGAAGAGAACAGATGGCTTTCCTATGGCAGTAGATTCACCTTTTTTAATCAAACTCTTACTTTGAGGAATTGGAAGAGTTATTTTTAGCTTGCATCAGTTACATGCTCAGATTCACAATACTCATACCTGAGGGGAATATGCTGTTAAGAGAAGGTAGCTTACTGTATTAGTGTGGCTGACACAACTCCAGTATGGTCCTGCTGTGACTTTTGCAGTTCTTTCAGGAGCAGTTGATTTTGAGGATCCATGTTCCCCCTTCACATCTTGTTACTTCTGTAGTCGAACGTTTAGCTATTCATTCAATTTATATTGGATTTGTGAAACAACCTGGTTGGGTTTGATGGGTTTGTAGGCTGATTGCTATTAAGTTTTGTAGTTCTGTGTATTAAGGTAATGATCACCTGTGCTGGAAATGAGTTGCTGCTGATGAAACTGCAATAAGAAAACCATGGTCCTCTTAAACTGAAAAAAGTAATGTGGAACTGGAACTTAAACATTTTGCCTAAAAATTCTTGAAAGCTTGTTCTATAGTAAATAATTACCAGGTCTGATCTCTTTATTTGTCTAAAGAAATTAATAATTGGAGCAACTTAATTATTTATAATTGGTGTCTGTATTTCTTCTAAGTATCTAAAGACCTTAAACTTTTTGCTTTTTAGAATGAGTATGCATGAACGAGTGAACAGAACAGAGAGGCAGTTTAAATCTCTCCCAGCTAACCAACAGAGTCTTCTTCCTCAATTCCTTCCTCACCTGGATGAGATTCGGAAGTGCATTGATCATAATCAAGAGATGCTACAGACCATTGTGAATGACTGCATTCATATGTTTGAAAATAAAGAATATGGAGAAGACGTATGTTAAAAATGGACTTTTTCGTAATCCAGAACTAAATTTTGTCTTCTTTGAGATTTTCTGCATTTGTTTTTCACACCTTTTGGCCTCCAACTTCTTTCCTTTTGCCTTCTTTATTTTCTCCTTTCTTAATTCCTTTTTGCTTACATTTCCTTGCTCTTGTCTTTCATACCTTGTAGAACTGATATTTAATAAAACTGTTTCTTATTACTGCTCGTAGCTAGACCTGTGAAAACTAATTGAGAATCTGGAAACTGGCAGTAGTCAGTTACTGTAAAAGCAATTTTCCACTCCAGAGTTCTAGCTCTACCCTGGTTACATTTTAAAGTTATTTTTTCAGTTAACGGTGTAGAGCATAAATGGTATTTATCTGTCTTACTGTAGGCTATTTTATGTTATGGCATTCTAAATCAGTTACAATTTTAGATGGGCCAAGTATTTTTAATGTACTCGTTTGTAAAAACTTCTTCACTACTTACCTGGTTCTTCAGTGTGGTGTCTCTTTAAAACAAAGAAACAAAAAACCACAAACAAACAAAACAAAACCAAAACCAAACCAACCAACCAAACAAAAAAACAACACACCACACCATTGCACTCAGACTTAAAAGACTGGCAGAGATGGAAACTGAAGTGCTTTTTTGGTATCTGCAGGCAAGATACAGTAATGGGCAGCTCTAATGTGAGCTGCTCAGTGATGCCTCATCAGTACCTGAAGGGATCATATTGGGGTAAGCAGTTCAGCCTCTGTACTAGGTAAGCCCTAGTCCTGTCCTGAATAAGGACTGCCACTTGTTCTCTGTGATGCCATACTGTGTAGTGGGTTTTCTGGTGTGGAACCTGGTCTCATGGGTGCTGAACTGAGACCAGAAAACTCAGTTTGTGTAGGATTCTAGGCTGGGTTTGAGCCCTGGTCCCAAGAGTGAAAGGCTTTGTTAGCTAAAATGCCCAACAGCCCATGTTGCATGGCTTTTGTCCTTTTATAATTTACTACATGTTTGTTTTTTTTTTCTTTCAAGACTAAAGATACTTGGTATGTTTTCAACTAACTTCTTTTTCTTCCCCCATTTTAATCAGGGAAGAGGGAAGATAACACCAGCTTCAACATTTGACATGGATAAATTAAAATCCACTTTGAAACAGTTTGTGAGAGATTGGAGTGAAGAAGGAAAGCCTGAGAGAGATTCCTGCTATCAGCCAATCATTAGTGAAATTGTAAAGAACTTTCCAAAAGAAACACGGTAATAGTGTTTAAAAACTTATTTTTATGTAGGCATACAGAGCAGTAGCAATCTGACAAAGTTTTTATAGACTAATGAAAAGCTTGGATTTAAAAATACAGAAATTGCTGTGAATACACTGGAATTTACTTTTTAATCTAGAAAGTTTTTTGTTTCTAATACAAGGTGTTGGAAAAGAGCATAATAGTGAACTTCAGACAGGAATATCACGTAAACCAGAAATAAGTTTTTATTTTTTTTTTTTACCTGCAGCTTGATGTAGTGTGATATATGTTAATTTTTCAAGTAGGAGACCTCAGAAGGTTGTGAAGTTCACTCAGTTGTGGTCAGTGAGGTAAGTTTTGTAGGATAGCAGATTTTTGGAATACATGTGCTGCCAGTAAAGGGAAGGACCTTTGTGAGAGCAGCAAGTGTGAGTATTGCCCTCCATGGTGGAAGAAGACTCTCAACCTCTAGTGCAGTTTTATTGCACTAAGAATATACCCTGCAAATACTTACTTCTAGTCTTGGTTTCATACATGTTACAAGGCAAATCTGAAAAAGCTTTGCTGCATGTGTGAGGGTGGCTTTGTAACTGCATTGGCTTGTTAATCCCACCAGAATAGTCACTGATGACTCTTAGATAATTTTAAGTATAGTGGTAGAATTTCAGAAGATACTATTTCTGTAAGAATTATGGTTTTAATGATGCTGCAGTTTAGTAAGCCCAGTCATCATAAAGTACATCTCATTTTAAACTTCACACACATAATGGGAAAACTTGTGAACTTCATACTGTTGAATGTGACAGGTCAGAACTTGAGTTCAATACAGCTCAGTATTACTCTGGTTCTTTTTCCACAGTAATTGCTAATAATGTGCTTGTAACAGTTTAAAAATACCTTCCACTAACCATTCTAATCACTAATCCCTATTAGTGGTGGCAGAGCTTGATGTAGACATGGTTGGTTGTTTTCACCATTGCCTTAGGCTAATTCATCTCAGAATGGATGCAGGAATAAAAATTCTTTCTGAAGGTGAACTTTATGCAGTGTTTTTAATATGCCCTACGTATGATAAACATGAATGAAATACTACGGGTTACCTGATGGACCTCTGATCTGCAAGAGAAGTCATAGTTCTGAAACTGATCATTCTAATCTTCAAGGTAGCAGTTCACTTTTTCTCTGTATGCTAGTTTTTGAAGCAGTTTGGTTTGTGGAGACCTAACATGTCAGATCTTAAGAGATAACGTGACTGAAGCTGGAAAGTCTTTTACATTTATCATCAATAAACTTTCAAAACCTGTAGCTGCTATTAGGAAGTAATGTGGTAACAGATCAGGTGAAACTGCAATTGATAGCTCTGTGCTTCTTTACGAGGACTTCTGTTTGTTGTCATCAAACACAACTAATACGGCAGTGCTTCTCTGCCTGTTGTGATGGTTCTGAAATACTAGCTGGGTATTATTTTCCCTCTGCAGAAATCTCAGAACATCACTGTATAGATCAAACATCTCTACTACAAGTCTGAGTTCGTCAAATAAAACATTTTTTTTAATTTATAAAATTTGTATTACATATCTATTTAAAACTTTACTATTAATGACAATTATCAAGTTGTTGTAACACTTCAGTAAAAACTTTTTTCTGTTCACATATTGTTAGTTGCTGTCATCAGCTCATTCTGTCCTGGTGACTGGAGGCTCTCCTTCTCAGGTGCACCTTAGCTCTTTGAGGTGAGAAGGGCCTGATCTCTTTGCCTGTTATTCGGCTTGACAGGCAGGTGCCACACCACTGTTGTCTGAGAAGTAACTTTTCTGGCAGGACAGGCAAACTGGTAAATCCAGTTTCTTTTTTAGACGTTTGGAGGAGAAGAGTTGTTTCAGTATGAAGTGATGGACAGGGCCTGAACTGTGAAGTTATTCTGGCTGTTGCGGGTAGGGAGTGCAAAATCTGTCCTCCAGAGAGGACTGGCTGTGGGTGCTAATGCAGGAAAGCAGCCTGTATGTGGAACCTCAGAGTGCAGCTTTGTGTTTCCTTGGAGTTCCCTTTCTAGCACAGGATGCTGAAGTCTCCTGAGATGATGAAATCAAAGTGCTAAGGGGAAAAGTATATTGTTAGCACTATGAGATGCAAATAGCTTTGTCTAGACATATCTTGCATTGAAAAAGATAGAGAAATAAATTTTAAGTTTAAAACTGCCATACTATCATAGAATTGTTTTGGTTGGAAGAGACCTTTAAGGTAACCAAGTCCAATGACTAAACCAGCACTGTCAGATCATCACTAAACCACGTGTCTAAGTGTCACATGTACATGTCTTTTAAATACTTCCAGGGATGGTGACTCCATGACCTCCCTGTGCAGCTTCTTCCAGTGCTTGATAACCATTTTGTGAAGAAATTTTTCTTAATATCCGACCTTAGCCTCCCTTCATGCAACTTAAGTCTGTTCCTCTTTTTCTGTTCATTCTTACTGTGGAGAAGAGACCAACAGCCACCTCGCCACAGCCTCTTTTCAGACAGTTGTCAGTACAAGTCGCCTTTTCCTTTTTAAAAGCTTCGATTGGACTGTACATTCAGATTCTAGTTAACATTGATTCCATTCATTGGAATCATGTGAAAAAAGAAAAGAACTGAAGTGCTCTGCTTTCTCCCCTGGGAAGCAAAAGAGATGCAAGCAGTGGTTGAAGGCTCCTGTACATTAAAACAGTCTTGTGAGTAGGCACTACCTGTTGTCTTGTTTCAGTCCAGTCTTCTGACAAGACTGTCATCTAAAAATAAAAATGCCACTCCTTTTCAGAAGGAATTAATTCTTTTTGCTTTGCACCTTAATGTGGAATCTGATATCAGGATCAAAGCAGTTTTAAGTGAAGTCCTATGAGGTAAGGTCTTCCTGAAGAACCGATAGATTTCCTGCATTATTCATGTTGGAATTTAATTGCGTTTCAGCTCACAGAGTCTCTGTAATATTGTCTACATTTTGATGAAGCCATTTAAATTTCTTGGATCTGAGTGAACCACGATCACTGCTTTCAGTAGGAGAGAAGAAGAAAACATAGATACATTTTTATTTCTTGATGGAATGAGGAAGACATTAAGTTCAAAATCTAAACAAGTCTACTGACTTTTTTTTTTTTTCCTAAGTTCCCTTTTCTTTTGTCACTTTGATTTTATTTTACTTATACAGTTACCCTTCCTACATATGTGAAAGGATGTAAAGATCACCAGCTTGTTGTCCAAACCAAAAGAACCAAAAAGAACCAAAGAAATAGTTAACCTTTTAGTTAATTATCTTCCCATGGCCAAGACCAGTAAACTTAGGTATTTTCTTCAAAGTTTTGTTTTATTCATTAACTTGTCCCCTGGAACCACCTGTAACCTAAAATATAAATATATCATGCTGTCCAGCAGCTGATTGCATTTCCCAAAGTACTGGCAGGACAATCCCAAAAGAAGTCACCAGCAATGTTTTACTTGAAAACCATAACTTATTAGCCATAAGCCTGAGCTTAACTATATTTCTTGCATGTTCTCACTCACATTTATACTGATGATAAAATTTCTGCTTTATAGGAGTATAGCTTTATGGAAAATATATTTGCCCTTGCAGGGTTTCATGAAAAATTGTACTTAGCCTAAACTCTGCTTTAAACATTGTATTTATGAGCAAACGGTATCTCCAGTGTTATTGCAGTCCACTGAAGGCTTTGCAGGTCTTTACATCGAAATATATTAAACTTAGCTGCTAAGTTTGGAGGAGAAAAATCGGTCTTCAGATGCTCATGCTTTTTAGCTACTGTCATTATTTTATTTGAAAAGTAGTTGTATTTAAAAAAAAAAATGCTGGAAGTGTGATAGTAAAATAGTGAAAAATACTAGACTGATAGTGGATCTATTTACTGACTAACTTTACAAACATTGAGATAAGACATCAAGAAACAAGCAGTCCCACAGTGGGATTCTGTGTCGAGTTGCCACTGATCTTCTGTGTATGTGCTCTATATTTCTTGTCACTTCTTATCATTAGAGAATTGCAGTGTTTAGTTTATGAAAATGAGGGTTTTGTTTGATCACACACAGTAATTTCTTCTGCTAAACTTCTGTTTTTCACCTTCAGCACTGTCATATTTTTATTAAAGCACAATAGACATAAGCCTCTATTTTATCAGAAATATTTTTTCCCCCTTTAAAAGGGACATTAAGCTAATACCTTAATTAAATTTCTAAATGCTGCAAATATATCACAGTGCAAAGTGCAACACAATAATGGCGTTACAAACTTTAGTTGTTTCTGATATGTATCTGCTGTTAAGAGACTGATGCAGTTTTAATGCTTGAGCCAAACTGTCTCCTGCAGACTTCTTCCCTGCATGTTGGCCATCCTCCGCTCCCCACACCTGTCGGTTGGGCAGGGCAGCGTTTCTTCCCTATTGCCCCACAGGTTTACAACGGGTGCCTGTTGGATACCTATTTATGTTCCTAACCAGCGCTAGCTCTGTGTCATAGAAATCCTGCTGCTGCCTGCTTCAAGGCTGGTTCCACTGCGGCCAAGTGCTGGATTATTATGAGTTTCCAGAATTTTGTGTTTTTATTGATTCTTTGATACTGCTGCATTTACATATGTACCAAAGGAAATGAGTTTTTTTTTTTAGCCTTCTAAGTTAACCTTATGACTGTAGCCATTAAAAAAAGCAATCTCTGTGCAATTAAAAATGTTTAGCTGTTCTAAAGATTCAAAAAGTAGCATAATGTAGTGCATTAGAGTGCTCCCACCACTACTTTTTGTATCTTTTTTTTTTTTAAATTCATCAACCAGTTTGTCACTAACAATTCCTTTTAAGTCATAAAAAGCAAAGTTATATAGGAGGATGCTGTCAACCATCACTACTTGTTACAGAGCAAGTTTTCCACATACCAGATTTCTCTGATAATAGATTCAGAAAAAAGCTCTTGAACCATTTTGTCAATGAACTGAGATTTATCCAATGATCTGTATTCTATTAGCTGTGTTAGGTATGCTGAAAGAAAGTTAGTAGCCAATACCTGTCTCTAGCAAAAGGGTAGATGGAAATTGAAGTGCTAACAAGTTTCCAGACAGACTTCAATCCCTTAATAAAGGCAAAAAGGAAAGTTCAGAAAATCAACTATTTTCTAAGAGAGAATTGGGGAAATTAGTTCAGAGACACAAAAGCATGTATAGTGCGAATAAAAAGATACAAGACAATTACAATCAATTTAAAGTCAACTTGTGACTGTTAGAGGCTTTATCTTGTTTTAGGATGATTAAAGGTGCAGCTTTTGAAATGTAATTGCACCTGCATAGCTATGAGTTATTAGGTTGTTTTTTAATTAAAGACTCTCGTAATCAATATATGGTAATCTTATAAGTGGGATTTCGACCCACTTGCTGTAGAAGTGTCCACATGGGAGTGCAAAAATCTGTGTAGAGCTATTCTAAAAACTTAAATTGTAAGGAAATGAAGAAATAGGTTAGAAATACATCTGGAATTACAGTGTGTCACTATGAATAGGAAAAGCTGTAAGATTGAGGTTTTTGTAGCTTCTCTTAGAAAGTGGATTTTCTTCTGCCTTCTTCTTGGTCCCTATTGACAAAAACTATGTCTTGAGTAAGTCATTTTTACATTAGTTAATCTTTATTTTTTTACAGTAGGACTTCCTAGCTAGTTTCCTTCTGGCTTTCCTTGTAGAAGGATGTACAGAGAACTGTTGCTTCACAGGAGTGCTTTTAAGTAATCGCAAAGTCTTGTTTTCCTGCTTCTTGTTAATCAGAAAAGAAATCATCTGAAAGTGTGATGGAATGGAAATGAGAATCAGGAATGAGAAGAAATCTGATTTTTCATTTGGGGTGCTTCACTAATTAGATGATTAAACCACAAACCAAAAGGCACTGTTAAAACTGCTTCCTTCGTTTGTGTGACCTTTAGAAAAGAATAATGCTTTCTTTTGGTCTTGAGCAACAGTCTTCAGAATTGCACTACTTTTCAGAGTTTACACAACTCCTTCATCTTCATGCTTGTGCAGCGTGGTAACTCCTTTGAACCCTTTGTGGCATTGTATTGGGTCTGGCTGAGCTGATTTCCCCATGGCAGCCCTCCTGGTGCAGAGCTGCTGTGTGTGGAGTTAGAAGGGTGCTGGTAACACCCGTGTTGTGACTGCCGCTGAGCAGTGCTCACACAGCACCAGGGGTCTTCATAACATTCCCCCCTCAGTGGGGTGCGGGGGCAGGAGCTTGGGGGGGGACATATCCAGGACCATATGATGTCAGCTTGGCTACAAAGCCAGTACAGCGGTGGGGGGAAGGTGGGAGGCTACTCCTTGGTCTTCTGGAGCAACCGCTGTGCATTTTGGAGCTCTGCTTCCCAGGAAGGGGCCAGACAACCTGTGCTGATGGGAAATAGAGAATAAATCCTTGGGTTTTTTCTCTTCACTTCTGTGGGCAGCATTGCTTGCCTTTGCTTTCTAATATAACTGCCTTTTATTTTTTTTAGACACAAGGGGTTTTGTCTCCAACTTATTTTCCTTTGTCCTGTTTGCTCTGCAGAGGAGGGAGAGGTGGTTCTCTTGCTACTCCTTAAAATGCAGCCTGGTAGCCATATGCACCAAATGCTCCACCATCCCTGAAGTAGTTAATAGCAATACCTACTTTAAGCCCAGAGTTTGTTTCAAGTTACATACTTTCTTCTCATTTGTTTTACATATTTTGAACAGCATTTATTAATGTATGTGTGTTTATATTTGGATTGCATTGTGATGGAAGTCTGATGGTTAGGGTATGTATATATTGCCTTTCCTGTCTGCAAGAAAAAACTGAGCTTCTTAATTGCTGAACTTGGAAGATGGGAGAGGTTTTTCTAGGTACATTAGAAAACATACACTGCTGGACATCTTCTGGTTGTCTTCCACTTGATGCCTAGTTATTGGAAGTGAGAGGTGAGAAAGTTGCGATGTATTTTGATTTAGGAAATCCTAAGTCAGTGTGATTCAGTGAAATCGGTGAACAGCGTATGTGAAACCAGCTGTTGCTAAGAAAGTAACTACTTTAAGGTTTTTACAATCTGAATTGCTCATCAGCTTATGAAAGTTTTGTTTGGTTTGTGTTTCTGATGTCAAATTACTTCTTTTTCATGCGATGTAACTGAAATGTCTAGAATATTTACTAGTTACCAGTGGGCCTCACAGAAAAATAAATGGTGCTTTATGGTGATGTTCTTCAATTCACTTCGGAAGTTTTTAGCCTGATGAGTAAAAGTTTTCAGGAAAAAATAAATGTTCTGTAATTATGCTCTGTATTCTGAATGAGGATTGTATATGTTCCTTTGAGTAATTTCTGTGAATTATTTTGACTGTACAATTAACCAATCTGATCACAACTGGCTCAGTTTACATTTAAAAAGTCAAGTCATACAGGAAATAGTTCACAATATCTAAGTATATCGGGACAATGTTTGGCTGGACCTCTGTAAGTTTTTTTAAGAGGTATCAGATAAAGACTTAACTGTTATTTTTGTTCTGTTGCAGGGATTTCTCCAAAGTTAATATCCTGGTACCTGGTGCTGGGCTAGGTAGATTGGCGTGGGAAATAGCTATGCTCGGTTATGCTTGCCAAGGAAATGAATGGAGCCTCTTTATGCTCTTTTCTTCTAACTTTGTACTCAACAGGTACATAGTTTACGTTTTACTTGCTGATTGAAACCTAGGGAGGCAAAATTATAGAAAAAGTTTATAA